CCCTGGGGGGATTTAACAGCCGGGCAGAGGCGGTGCTGAGGGCCAGGGTTTGGGGGTGGGATGGCAGGGGTAGGGGGGCGGTTGTGCTGGGGGAGCTTAAAGGGCTTTTCCAACCTGAACGATTCTATGATTCGATTCTATGATTCTAAAACCCCCCGCGCTCGTGAAAATGTGTCAGTAGCTGCACAAGATCATGGCAGGAGGTGCCATATCAAGACAGAAGAGTGGAGAATGTTCAAAACTGCAGCAATGTGCCAGTCACCTGCTAGTATCATGAGAAGAATTTAACATGGGAGGGCGGCACTGAATTGCCTTTCATTTTGGGTGGAGTTGATGGGGTAAAAAAATGCTAAGGCTACCAAGACCAAGGACTCTTTCTAGGAGGATGCGCTTAACAGTATGAAGCTGCTCAGCTCACAGGAGCTCAGCCAGGACCCCCCACAAACCGGCCTGGACACCACTTCTCCCATCACCAGCCACCTTTTCTTGCTGAGAGCTCTCAAGCCACAAGCAGCGCAGCTCTGGAGTATTGCGAGCACCTCCATTGCCTGTCTCGTAGATGAACCCGGTCCTTGCTTGTTCCTGCCTCCCGGGGAGAGCATCCCGGTGAAGCTGTTCCAGGATAATTTACTCCTGAAGCACCTTAACATGTTCTTGTGTTCCTCCATGCCCTCTCCAGGCATTTTATTCTTCTAGAAGTCGCGTGGCTGGGGCAGTCTGCCCAGGGGCCGTCGTTACAGCACTTTGCCAACAGTTTGGCACGGAAAGGAGTCTCACGCAGCCTTGGAGGAGTTTGAAAAATGCCCTTAAGCGGTCAGTCAGGGGAAGGCAGTAGGCAGAGTCTTACTTTGACCAGGAATGTGGAGACTTCTAGCGACTTTCTCCTGCCAGACCCAGCCTGCTCACCAAGAACACCCTTACGCAGCGCAGAGCAGCGTCGGTGGGCGCGTGACGTTCTCCCGAGGGACTCTCCTTTTGCCCAGTGTGGTTTGTGGTGAAGTAAGAGCTGCTGTTCATGGGGGCACGTTTGCATCAAAGCCGTGTCATAGAGAAGCCAGGATTGGCACACGCCACTTTGAATTTAGTCTTTCTAAGTAGGCAAGACTTCAAAGCCACGGGCGGCTGCGTTGTAGAGCCAGCCAATGCATGCAGCTGTGGAGTTTGGTCAGTGGAGGTGACTGGTCTGTGCTGGGAATCCAGCGAGGAAATAGCGAAGGCATTTCTGTTTAACAATAGGGAGGAAGAGTATTCATTATTTTTCTGAAAATTCAGACCATTAAAGGTCCACTTTCCAGGGCAAGACTCAATTCTGCGGCATCTCCCGAGGATTGTGGTTTCTAAGTAAATAACTCTTTCTTTTGGGAGTAGTACGGGGAAAGGGGATATGAAGGCTGGCACAGACAGTACCAGCGTGCAGCTAGCAGAGCGAGGTCCTCAAAGAGCCCCTTGAAATACCATCCACAAACCTCAGCTCTGGCCGCTCCCATGAACTGTGTCCCACTGCAGGGCCGAGCAAACGGCCCCCCCATGTCTGTGTGTGTGTGTTTTCTTTGAATTCTGTTGCAGCTCCCCTCCATCCAAGCCAGCGGCGTTTGAGCAGTTTAAGGAGGAGTGCGGAAGTGAGATCAGCCGGATCTTTAAAGAGAACAAAAGCATCCTCCTTGCCAGGAAGAAGAAAAGCAGTACAGTAGCGCAGAGGATCAACTTCATCAAGCACGAGATGGAGGGCATCAAAAAGGCTCTGGAGGCTCAGAAGCAGGAGCGGTGGCAGCAGGGTGAGTCGCTGTGCAGAGACTGGCCAGTGAGAATCTGACAGAAGAGGGGAGCTGCTGCTTTCAAAGCCCTTCTGGTGGTGAGACCACTAGACCACCGCTGGAGCTTGCCTGGGCAGCGGGGCAGGCTGGGCTTTATGCCCTAGCTCTGCAGCTGGCCTGGTTTGCCACCCGAATCTTAGAATCACAGAATGGTTTGGGTTGGAAGGGACCCCCAGAGGTCACCCAGCCCAGCCCCCCTGCAGGAGCAGGGACACCTTGAACCACATCAGGTTGCTCACAGCCCCGGCCAACCTGGCCTGGAATGGTCCCAGGGATGGGGCCTCCACCCCCTCTCTGGGCATCCCCTGCCAGGTTGAACCACATCAGGTTGCTCACAGCCCCGTCCAACCTGGCCTGGAATGTTCCCAGGGATGGGGCCTCCACCCCCTCTCTGGGCAACCCCTGCCAGGGTTTCACCACCCTCACTGGAAAGAATTTCTTCCTTAGATCCAGTCTAAACCTCCCCTGCTTCAGTTTAAAGCCATCCCCCCTTGTCCTGTCCCAGCTGGCCCTACTAAAAAGCTTGTCCCCCCCTTTCCTCTGGGCCCCCTTGAAGCCCTGACCGGCCGCACTCAGCTCTGCCCGCAGCCTTCTCTTCTCCAGGCTGAACACCCCCAACTCTCCCAGCCTGGCCTCACAGCAGAGGGGCTCCAGCCCTCGGAGCATTTTAGTAGCCCCTCGGAGCATTTTAGTAGCCCTCCCCTGGCCCCGCTCCAACAGGTCCATGTCCTCCTGGTGCTGAGGGCTCCCGAGCTGGACGCAGGGCTCCAGGGGAGGTCACTGGAGTCCTCCACACTTCAGCCTCGTTGAGTCGTGCTACTCGGGCTTTACCTAAGTGAGGTGAGCTGCAGTCAGGTTGATTCCTCACCCCATGCTTTGGTGGATTAGGCAGCGTACTGCTGACAAATGCAGGTCAGTACAGTGCAGAAATCATGGGTAGCAGGCTGGCCCTTACTGTGGTGGAGATGTGCTGCATCCCCTACACCCTGATTTCATCTAGAGTCTGGTTTATGAAAGTCAAAATCTCGAACTGCAGGATACTGGAGGAAAAAAATGGGATAAGTGCCTTCCTCCTTTGCTGCAGCAAGATGTTTGTCAGGTGGAATATGCCTGGGTGAGATTAGCGTGTCAGGTTTTGTGCTCCCTGCAGCGGGGCTCCCGAGAGTTGGTGCTGTTGCGTTCTGCAGAGGAGTGGAGAAGAAACGCCTCTGGGCGAGGAGAGAAATCCGAAACAAATGGCTTTAATAGCAGGCTGGTCTCGAGTGCTCTGTGTGTGACCACGAGGAAGTAGCAGCAGTGTTCCTTGCGTGGAGGAAGGACAGCAAAACAACTCAGTTCTGTGAAACTACAACCTTAACTATTGCCAGGCAATTAGTGGGGAATGAGGGAAGGAGAGAGAAAGAGAATGGTCAGCAGCAAGCAGGCCCTGCGCAGTGAATGAGGGCCAGGGAGTCAGACCCAGAGTCAATGCTGCACTACTGCCTTCCAGTTCTCTTCCTACAGAGAGGCTTTTATGACCACGCTTTGCAAGGGGCCTTTTCCCATAGGGTCTGATCCTGCAAGATGCAAAGCTCTTGGCTAAAGGATGAGCAGATCAGCTTGAATCCATATCAAAGCAAGGGTCTGTCTTTTCACAGCCTCATTGCTTCTTTTGGCCTTTGCTCTGTCTGATGACATCTACCAACTGGTGGTTTATTGTGGATGCTGGAAACCACAGGTTTGGGTCCCTCCCTCCCTGAAGGACCTGGGGGGGCTGGAGCGTGTCCAGAGAAGGGCAGCAGAGCTGGGGAGGGGTCTGGAGCCCCAGGCTGCTGGGGAGCGGCTGGGGGAGCTGGGGGGGTTCAGCCTGGAGCAGAGGAGGC